AATTTTTATCGGCGCGTTTTCGGACCTTTCCTTAAACTTTTTAGGCAAAAATACGAATCGAATGACACCTTGGTCGTAATCGTATCGTAATAAATCGAGTACATGTGAACCAGACTAGTGACTCTAATAGGGTATCATCATGAAAAAATGAGAAATGAAACTTTCTATGTTTTTACCACTTTTATTTGTAACTAACGTTACTGCAGTTTCATCCAACCAGGACATTTTCAAACTAATGTATTAGTTTTCATTTCCAAATTAATACGTTAGTTATAAATACAAGTGGTAAGAAAACATACAAAGTTTCATTTCTCATTTTTACATAAAAAAAATCAGTCATGACTTAGACCTAGATATTATAGCTGTAAAACTGTTATAAGGGTTGGAAATCAATAGATTCAAAAACAGAACTGTTAGATATATAATTGAATGATTCTCCTATGTCGAGTGTGTTTTTTTTCTATGATGAAGTTGTTAATTGGGTAGAGGTAGAAATAAACTATCTTTCTAATGAGTTTAGTTTTTTGTAGTGGCTTCTGGGACTATGGACCTTTATACTAGGCAATCTGTCCAATATGCAAATTATCACACGCCTCCACATCATTCTCCCAACTACCCAATCACATTATATTCCCGCTGAACAGATTTTTCGAATGGGTCGTACATCAAATTGATTCATTCTTAAATTCAGCAAGGTGAACAGAGTCTTTAGCGAAGCACTAGCATTAATACAATCAATTTATTAAGTGGTTTGTTTCGTCACAGCCAGAACCGTATTGCATGAGCTAGCCCCCTATCTAATAGGACTAATAGGCCAATTAGGTCAATGGAGTGGCATTGGGGAAGGTTCAAGAAATGCCTCTGAACTTGAATATCCTGCAAACAAAACTAGCTATAAGTCTGACTCTTTTCTTAAAGAGTGGATTTCCTGACAAAATCTTAGGTGAAAGGGAGAACAAGAAAATTGAAAATAACTTTGTCAAAGAGTTCAGCAAGTCTTGAAAACACATAGCATAGCAGATGGTTGAATCAGATCTCATAATATTAGGAACAGATCAAATACATACGAAATATAAACAAACGACAATTGCTGAGCATCGTTCAAGAACTGTTGAATGACGTCAATGGCGATCCAAATTTGCTTAAGAGGGTCATAACTGTTGATGAATCATATATATATATGGTTATGACATCGAAATAAATACATCCGGTATTGTGGAAAAATAATGCATGTTTGTAATCATGCCACGGCCACTGTATTCACCAGATTTGGCCTCCTGCGACTTTTTCCTGTTCCCGAAATTGAAGAGAGCCATAAAAGGACGGCGTTTTGCGACGATTGAGGAGATAAAAACTGAATTGCTGAGAAAGCTCAAGGACATACTAAAAAGTGCATATCAGAACTGCTTCGAGAATTGGAAAAAACGCTGGCACTAGTGTATTATATCTGGGGGGAGGGGGCTACTCTTTGAAGGGGACAAAATTAAAATTGATGAGTAAATAAATAGTTCAGTGTCACTATATTTTGATTCGGGTTTCAAAGCCTTCGATTTTAGGCATTTCTTCCTGACGTTTCGCTGTTGTGGGTGGGTATCTTCTTCAGAGGTTCATACATCCTGAGTCCAGAAAAAAAAAACACAACTGATAACAATGAGGTGCTACCTATGTATTATTTTGGTTTAAAATCAAATTCTTCATTATAGAACAGAAGAACTGAAATTAATGTGAGAACCTACACCGACGGTCTTGAGCCAGTTTGGTTCTCGAGAGAAACAGCAAATTCGAAGTGGGTCTTCTATTGGGTGTCCGTTATTCTCGAACGATATTTATTTTTCAAAAAATTCATCTTTGAGAAAGATGTTTCACATACGTATGTAGAACCAAACATAGTGTCCAAATTTATAGCTGGTTTCTTGCAGTTCAAAAAAGCGCTTAAGGACTTTTCCGTAACTAAGCCAGCGTACGGCAGTATGATATGGTAAATCATTTTCTCCAATCTGTTGAATANAAAAAAGCGTAAGTTTGCTTAGGTCACGCACTTTGCGACTATCCTACTCTAGAAATATAGTTAAGGGCAGAAATTGGCCCTTGGAACAAACTGAAAAAATCATTTTGGCCCGAAGGCTTCAAAGTTTGGAGTCCCCTGGACTAGACTAAAGATCCATTGTCATTCAGTGAAAGTTGACTGCACCAATAAAAAAATGAAATGCACTGTTTTATTCAACGTTCATTTTGGGCCAGTCCAGCCCTGTCCGTCGGCATTGCGAAGTGACCGATTCATCGGATTCGGAGCTGCAGCTAAACAGCTAAACGTTCGTTCACTCCGAGATATCAATCAGTCTTAATACACCCCTAAGGTCGTTAATCCACCACTTAATTGATGAGATTTCTATTCCCTACACATCATACGTATTCATTAGGAAATTATCTGCTAATAGTGGCATTACTTGGAGTCAATCGTGTGGAACCAGTAACATAAGAAAAACACTAATTCTGCACGCTCGAGTAGCTAATGGGATGAGTCGCCTCGAACCCTCAACTGACCATTTGACTTTATTTGTATTTATGTTACAACCTTTCTGATTTATTGAAAAAAATTCACGTCTAGATTTTATGGTCTGTAGTGGATCTGGACGTTTGGCCGACAAATATCCGAAGTGAGAAGTTTTATTTTAGGGAATACGTAGATGTGATAAAATATCGCGTTTTGAAAGAGGGATGCAATGGCCCAGGGGCTGGAAAAAAGCTTTCCACTTTTCCATCATTAACAAAAAAATGTGAGAAACTCCCAAAGAAAGAAGGAAGATAATAAATACAATAAAACCTCTTCATGCAGATATGTAAAGCTTTTAAAGTTTCTTTTAGATACAAACTGAAAGAAAAAACCTTCGAAATAATTGGACTGTGCTTTTCTATAATGCCCCCCTCCTTTTATTTTTTGAACGGGTCAACT